AAAAACTATTTCACTAGGAGGGTGGTGAAACACTGGAATGCGTTACCTAGGGAGGTGGTGGACTCTCCTTCCTTGGAGGTTTTTAAGGCCCGGCTTGACAAAGCCCTGGCTGGGATGATTTAGCTGGGAATTGGTCCTGCTTTGAGCAGGGGGTTGGACTAGATGACCTCTTGAGGTCCCTTCCAACTCTGATATTCTATGATTCTATGATTCTATGATTCCTTCCCGACCCCAAATATGGCGATCAGTAGAACCCCGAGCATGCAGGCAAGATTCTCCAGCCAGACCCTCATTGACCATTGATACTATTTACCAGCGATGGCACGTTGTTGATTAATTGACTATAATCACGTTATCCCATCAAACCATTCCCTCCATAAACTTATCTAGCTTAATCTTAAAGCCAGAGAGGTCTCAAACAGTTGTGATTGTTTTTGTTAATAAAATTAAAGGAAATCTTGAGACCAGTGGCTTGTGATGAGTGAGGCATGCAACAACTTTTTAAATGAACAAATTTTGCACTAAACTTTCCATCCCGATGAAGAATTCCTGCCACTGGCTCTGTCCTATCATGGATGATTCAATTTTACGCTTCCACGCTGTTGGTTGTCCAACCTTTTTAGTGATGTTCCACAGAAGTGCCTCCTCCATGTGGAGTGACCTCGCATGGATGGTGACCAGACAGCAAGTGTGAAAAATCGGGACAGGGGCTGGGGGGTAATAGGAGCCTATATAAGAAAAAGACCCAAAAATCAGGACTGTCCCTATAAAATCGGGACATCTGGTCACCCTACATTGTGCAGAGATTAGAACACGGTTTTGTTGTAGAACGTGTGGTTGTGGGCTGGATGGAATAATCCTGTAGGCTGGATCCATCCCATGGGCTGCCAATTGGACCAGTTTTTTTGTGAATTCTGGGGCATGCCACTGTTTGAACCAATCGCAAATGTTTTAAAAGGATCAGCTGTGAAACAAAACATTTTTTTTTTTTGTGGTCCAAATCAGCTTTTCTGTTTCAAAATTTCCTTCAGTTGTATGAATAAAGCCAATCTCGAGGGTTTAAAAATGGTGGACATTGAAACAAAACATTTTGATTTTGTTGAAACAAAATAGTTGGTTTGACCTAAAACTATATTTTTTGGACTTTTCAATGCGCTGAAAGTTTTGACAAATTTCATTTTCAGTTTGACCTGAAACAATTTCTTTTGGAGTTGCCAGCAAGGCAAAAAAATTGCTGTTCACACAGCTCACTCGTATCTTTGTTGCTGTTTTCTGTTTGCTCGCTGCTTCACTCTGGGGGGGGGGGGGGTTTGGACACCACCGATTCCAGAGATGTTGAGATTTGACTCCCTTAAGCTGAAAGATGAAGGGCGAGACAAGCAGCTGCTTGAGAGGCTGGGAGTGGGCACCTGAAATCAGGCCTCTCCCAGCTGAGTTGGGCAGTCTGTCTTGGTATTATCAGTGCTTCTGCATCTGTTCTTAGCAGAGTCCCCATCCATTGCCTGCATCAGGAGTGTTGGGGAGGGAGATATGGCTGCTTCCTGCCATTGATATGGAGACTTGACACTCTCGCCAGTGAAAATTTAACGAAGTTGTTTGGGAATTTCTCTGCAGGCCGGGGAAAGCGTCGTCTCCGGCGCTTGCTCTGAGAAGTGCACCTGCCAGGCCTCAAGCGGGCTCATCTGCGAGCCACACAGCTGCCCTGCCGGAGAGGCCTGCGCGCTCCAGGATGGAGTGCGTGGTTGCGTGAAGCGGGAAGGCCGGTGCACACTGCTCCCCGGAGGCGGGCTCACCTCCTTCGACGGTGCCTCGGGGAAGATCCTCAACAGTGGGGCCTATGAGATGGCTTCACTCTGCAACAACAGCGCCCCCTCCTGGTTTAGGGTGGTGGTAGAGGTCCAGCAGTGCAGCAACGGGGGAGTGGTGGCTGGTGCAGCCGTCTACATCTTCTTCCAGGAGGCTTTTGTCGTTGTCAAGAGGAACAAGGAGACGTGGGTAAGAGGGGACCGGGTCAGAACTGGCTGAGACACAGGGGAGAGCTTCCTTCTATTAGAGCCACGCTCTAACTAAATAATAAAATCCAGGAGTCCTCGCTCCCAGCCCCTCCCCCTGTGCTGCTCTATCCCACTAGACCCCACCACTCCCCTCCCTGAGCTGGGGACAGAACCCAGGAGTCCTGGCTCTCAGCCCCCCTGCTCTAACCCACTAGACCCCACTCCCCTCCCAGAGCGGGGGACAGAACCCAGAAGTCCTGGCTCTCAAACCCTCCCTACCCCACTCCTCTAACCTACTAGAACTGACTCTGCACAGACCCAAGACGTCCATTGCCCCTCCTGTTGTGCGTGGACATAGCGGCTTTTTACAGTTATTGCAGACAGAGCTGCTGGAAATTAAAATCGTGGGAATATCGAACATCCACAGGAAGCAATTTTTGTGCTGCCCGTTTTGGAAATGGGCCTGGTTTTTCTTGACGTTTTTCACCGATTTATCAAATTGTTTCTATGCCCAAAGCGGACATTTTCCAAATAGGAGGGGTGAGGAATTCCACTTTCTGATGGAACCAGCTGATCCCACTGCCCTGCAACGTGGCCCACGGACTCCAGGCCCCGCTGCCCTGCGATGTTGTCGCTCCATCTCACTCATCCCCATGTCTTCCTGACCTCCCAGTCTGTGTGTTCCAGGTGAACGGGCGTCCGGTGCCGCTCCCAGCGAAGATCTCCAACGTGTCTGTGAGCGAGTCTCAGGGCGGTGTGGCCGTGGTCCAGGCTTCGGGACTGCAGGTTCTGTTTGGCCCCAGCGGGGAGGTGACGTTGAGAGTTGTTGAGAGCCTAGCTAACAAGCTGTGCGCACCCTGTGGGAACTTCAACAGCGACATCTCCGATGACCTGCGGCTGCCCAGCGGGCAGGTCACGGGGAACCTCATGGAGGTCGTTGCTGCCTGGAAGGCCAGAGATTTCTCCGGGTGGTGAGTGGCTCTGCAGACAGCCTATTTTGGCAACCTCAACACCCCATTCTGCGTCTCCAGAGGATGCCCAAATCCCATTGATTTTCAGACCCACACCCAACTTGTTCCCAACCTCTCTCTCAAGCCATCTAGCCAACATGGCTTCCCACCATATCTCAGCTCTATCGGTACTCTGGTAGTGGTGCCCACTGCAGAGCTCACTTCCGGGATCCCTGGCAGTGTTGCCCCCCATCCCTCTGGGATGCTTTCCCTTTGTCACCGGGTCAGGCACCTCCTGCGATTGCATGAGTTGCAGGTGCCTCCCGCTGCCACCAACACAAATCTCCTGCTGCATAGCAAGAGAGCTCCCTGCCCCAGTGTCTCCAACTAGACAAAGAGAAGGATGATCATGCCTGTTTCATACGTGGGGAAACAAGAGACCCAGAAATTGTGATTTACAACATGGCCCAGAACAGGAGCGGAGACACTGCTGTAGCATTTGAGAACCTAGGAAGCCTGTTTCCCAGCCGGGGACTGAAGCGAGATCTCCCACATCCGAATGCAGTGTTTTAATTACAAGGCCACCGTGTGGGGATGGGATGAGCCTTGTGTAAAAATTAGAATAGGTTGAAAAATTTCTACCAAACTGATTTGAAAAATTGGGGTTATGTTGAAACTATTTCCTCACACACACACACACTCTCTCTCTCTCTGTCTCTCTCTGTCTCTCTCTCTCTCTCTCTCTCCAAAAGTGTCCGTTTCCTATGACAAAGAGATTAATTGAAAACTGAATACTGGAAAACCAAAATATTTAGATTTTGAATTGGTGCTATAGTGCCTGATGGGAGCAATGCCCCTCTGCCATGTACATTGGCCAAACCAGACAGTCTCTGCGCAAAAGAATTAATGGACACAAATCTGACATCAGGAATCATAACATTCAAAAACCAATAGGAGAACACTTCAACCTCTCTGGTCGCTCAGTAACAGACTTAAAGGTGGCAATTTTGCAACAGAAAAGCTTCAAAAACAGACTCCAGCGAGAAACTGCTGAGCTGGAATTGATATGCAAACTAGATACAATCAACTTAGGCTTGAATAGGGACTGGGAATGGCTGAGCCATTACAAACATTGAATCTATCTCCCCTTGTAAGTATTCTCACTCTTCTTATCAAACTGTCTGTACTGGGCTAGCTTGATTATCACTTCAAAAGTTTTTTTTCTCTTACTTAATTGGCCTCTCAGAGTTGGTAAGACAACTCCCACCTGTTCATGCTCTCTGTATGTGTATATATACACATCTCCTCACTATATGTTCCATTCTATATGCATCCGAAGAAGTGGGCTGTAGCCCACGAAAGCTTATGCCCAAATAAATTTGTTAGTCTCTAAGGTGCCACAAGTACTCCTGTTCTTTTTGATGGGCGTTGTAGTTCAGGTGCCTCATGTCACCATTCTTATGGATAGGCTGGGCTCTTTTGCTGGAGTACATCTCCCATGATACAGCACAGCCAGGCGACTGCCATGATAGACCCTCTCCCTTCACCAAGAGGAAAGACTGGTGCATCATGGGAGATATATTCCTGCCAGGGAGCCTGGCCTATAGAAGAGAATGGGTATGAGAAACCTGAACTACAGCATCCATAAGGTACTGCAACAACATTTCAAAATTGAAATATTTCAGTTTGGGGGCTTTGGTTTTTTTTGACCAAAAAACTCCAAACACGTTCGATGGACAACAAGCAGAAAATTCATTCAGTTTTCCGGGAAAATTTTTTCACCCAACCATAATTTGTTGTTGATTTTCTGTTTGCCAAGACGCCAACATTTTCATTTTTTGGTCATTTTTCCACGGGGAAAATATAAAGACACCCTCCCCTTTAGCGACAGGAAAAAAGAAAAATTACTCTCCCCACTAAAGACAACTGATGTCTTTTGCAGTTGCATGTTTTCCCTCTCAGAACCCATCAGTTCAGTACTCCTAGTAACCCTAAGCTCTGCTGTGGCACTTTTTATTGGTGGATCTCAAAGCATGTCAGAGTTACCCTCTTTTACAGATAGGGAAACGGAGGCACAGAGACTTGCCTTAGCTCACCCAGCAGGCTTGTGGGAGAGCTGGGGATAGAACCTAGGGGCTCCTGGTCCCAGTCCAGCTCTGATGCACTAGATCAAACAATTCTTCCATCTCCAATCACCAACCCTTCCCTCCTAGAACCCCATGCTTCCCCTTTGCCAACACGTCACCCTACTAGCCCCCATCTCTTATCATAGCGGAGGACGGTGATGCTGCTATGGGGAAGCTCATCTCTGGGGGGGAAAGGAGGCCTCTTTGAGATGGAGGTTCTCTCTGGGTGGTGGTGGTGTAGACAGGGCTGCAGGTTGCCTGGAACTCCTGGAAAACTTGGCTCTACATCTTACTGGTGGAGCAATCAACCTTCTGCATGGGGCGGTATGCTAACCCAAGCCCTCCAGGAATAGATAGAGCAGCTGTAGCAGGAGCTGCAGATGGTCCAAGTATTTTGAAGTGCTCAGCAAAGGGTCCCCCCCATACGGGTAGAGTCTATTCTAGTCTTGTGAAGGCCAAAAGTATAATTGGGTTCAAAAAGAACTAGAGAAGTTCACGGTGGATAGCTAGGAACACAAGCCTTAAGCCTCCAACTGCCAGAACCTGGGACTGGACAACAGGGGATGGATCACTCTAAAATGCTCCATTCTTTTCATTTCCTCTGGTGCATTGGCCCATCAGAGGCAGGCTATTGGGCTGGGATGGACCATTGGTCTGATGCAGTGTGGCCGCTTTTATCTTCTACAGCTGGGTGAAACTTTTTGCTTGAAATTTTTGGCACCAAAAAATGCAGATTGAGCAACAATGAAAGAGTTTTGACTGTTGAATTGTTTGCGTGTGTAAAAACCTTTTACAGTTCTGCTAAATTAAAACATTCTTTTGACAGTTTTTGAAACAAAAAGTTTTGATTTTGCTTCCAAATGGACTTTTCAAGGTCTCCTTTACCTCCGTTACATTTTAAATGTGGCCAGACACTGTTCTGATTTGGTCAAAACAAGTTGTGTTCCAGCTGACACCAATTTTGAGTTTTCAGTTTGCTGAGAGCTTGAACCTTTTTGCTCCGACCCAAAATGAATTTTTGCCCTGCGGACCCCCCAACCCAGCAGCAGCCCAGCTCTAGTTCACGGGTGTTTTTGATCAATGTGGATGCTAATTACTATTTTCTCTCTTTTAGCAAATAGCAGCTCCACCTGGAACCATCAAAGATCAACCCTGCATCTACATTGGACTCGGCCCATTGTCTAAACAATTGCTAACCACCCCAAGGTATTTGTGATACCTGAGGGCCAGTTGTAAGACACAGTAATATCAGTCAGTGTCTCTAGAGCAATAAATCCTTGCAATCCTTCCAATACCATTGTGCAGCTTCATTGTCTCACCCTGTGTTCATGTTATCCCTCTTAGCAAGGCACGCGCGGAAGGTTTTGGCAGAGCATTTCAGAGCCACAGGGAACTGTGATTTCATAGACAAGCCCAGACCATTGTAGTCATCTACACACACTGGCATCCTGCAGAAAACAGGACTTCACTGAATTTAATTCCCACACCAATTAATTGAATGAGAGCAGATCTCTTTGAAAGAACATCCAATCTTGATTTAAAAGTGTATGGAGAATTGCCCATGACCTCTGGTAAGATGTTCCCCCATGTGAGTTACCCTCCCCGTTAAACATTTTGCGCCTTACTTCTGAACATATCAGTTTCCATCCCTTGGATCTTGTTAGGCCTTAGTTTGTGAGATTGAAGAACCTCTACCAAGCTTCTGCTCCAGCACACAATAGAGTCCTAGACAGATCAGAACCTCACTATGTCTGAACAGGGCCAGCCATGTTGGTACCTACCCTGCTGAGCCCATGGTATAAATAGGTGAAATGATCACATATGGGGAACCAAGGCAGAGTTCCTGATTCTCAGATAGCCATCAGCAGCATGAAGTCACCTTGACTGAAGGAAGCCCCAGGGTAGTTCTGGGATTCAAACCAGCATATTCCACTGCCTTTCAGTCCAAGGCCATCTCAAAGCACTGCTAGGACAACTCTCACTGGCTGGCCAGGCTCCAGAGCTTACAGGAGGAAACTGATGGATGTTTTTAAGAAGGCAATCAATGAGTTTTTGCAACAGGCCGTGTTTCCATTGACTAAGCACAGTAAGGCCTTAAACAACTTTTAGACACCACAGTAGATCAAGTTGTAGTATCAGGAAGGGTTCTGCCAGCCCTACGCACAACCCTAGCCATTTTGGTTCAAAATTGATAGGGGGTGGGGGAGGAGAAGAGAAAAAGGACACAGCTGATGATTGAACAGCTGCAACCAGGTCTATTACTTTCCACTAAAGAGAATCAGAGTATCAGGGTTGGAAGGGACCTCAGGAAGTCATCTAGTCCAACCCTCTGCTCAAAGCAGGACCAACCCCAACTAAATCATCCCAGCCAGGGCTTTGTCAAGCCTGACCTTAAAAACCTCTAAGGATGGAGATTCCACCACCTCCCTAGGTAACCCATTCCAGTGCTTCGCCGCCCTCCTAGTGAAACAGTGTTTCCTAATATCCAACCTAGACCTCCTGCACTGCAACTTGAGACCATTACTCCTTATTCTGTCAAGACCCTTCCATCTCAGCCCATCCTCTCACTGGCTTTTAACAGGCTGAAAACCTGAATAACCTCACAGAAAGGAGGTACCCACAGGGACCCTGGCATGGGGAAGAATGGAGATAAGTGTGGGGGGCACAGACCTGCTGCTGTGGTGATGGTGAAGGAGGACAGAGTCCCTCAGACAGAGGGGGATGAGAGAAGGAGCAGTAGGCTGAGCTCAGCCTACATCTCCTGGAAGTAGAGATTTTGTGAGGGTTTGACAACTGAGGCTCCTCCCCCTCTGGAAAGATCCCTGATTTATGCCCTAGAGGAGTGATTTTCAACTTCTCATTTCCAGCCCTGCTAAAAATCTCAAATAAAGGTGC